TTTATTTGTTCAATGTTCTCTACATTCGCAGGGAGGAAGTTGTTTTTAAAAAGGGTAAGTTTTGGTTAAGTAGAGAAGATATTTGTAGTCTGGACATATTGAAACACATTTCAAAGAAGGTGTTGGATGCATGGTGTGTGATTTTAAATCTTCGTGAGAAGTACCGGAGCAATACCTCACCACTACGATTGTTTGCAAAAAAACTTGATTGTGTAAGTGTTATGACAGTTTTTAAATCTTACCATTTGGAAGTTTTTGTTTTCAATGAATTTACTGACTTTGAGATGTATAATATGAAGGTCGTGAACGGTGGTCATGAAGATAATTCGTTGGAAACAACGAGATTGATGTTTAATGATGCAATGAAATCTGCTTGGGATGATGCAGAGGATAGCTTTAATTGGGGGAAACCAGAATTGGTAGGAGACATTGATGCAATTTGAAAAACTAGTAACAACTAACTATAATTAAGCATGGTTAAAAAAATGTTTTTTGGATCTGTGGCCTCGTTTTAGGATGGCTATATTGTTTAGGAAACTGATAATGATTGGTTTCAATGAAATGCAGTTCTTTTTCCCCATAATGCAAACAAACTGGTGTTATGTGTTGTGTGTGGATCTGAAAGGCAGAAGGTGTGACATTCTGGACAGTTCATCTGCGAAAGCCAAGAATGAAGAGTGATATGGAGAAATGCCATCACTAGTGGTAAGTATGCAGTGCCCAGATTTATTAATGCGCTGAAATGGATTATTTTCTGAAGTTAATTTTATACGTTTTGTTTTGTGAAAGCTGAATATGTTGGCCGATTTCTTGGAGCATCATGGATTTAGAAGCAAGGCAGCCTATATACGTGAACTTCAACCTAAAAGAATTGGGCTACCTTGGAGGGATTCAAAGCAAGTGTATGACTACGGGGTGGCAACAATGCGTCACATGGAGACATACATGGGAGAGGGAGCGAAGGGATGGGATTGTGGTTGGTCGAAGCTAAATCACAAACCACTTTTGGTCCTACGTATGAAGTACTGTGCAACAATTTTACTCCACGAGGTGAACGAGTTGATGGAGATGGTAGAAAACGAGTCTTTTAAAAACGATAAGATGCTTAAAGGGAAGAATGTTGAGTTGAAAAGCAATTCTGATCCTCTAACTTCGTGTTGTTGACGGGGTGTTTTTTTTGTTGTTTTGAGAACTAAGGGTTTTTGTGTTTTTTGGTTGATTTGTTTTTTGGGGGAGGAGCCATTCCTTCACATGACATGGGTATGATGTTTTGGACGTATGCATGCGTTATTAGTGGTAGGATGATCTTGTTTACGTGACATATGTGTTTAATGCTCTGAATTATGCACTACCCTTGGTAATTCTTTAATTGCCGTGTATTTTATTTAGAAATCAACAGTGGAGTTCATCCTAGTAGGAATTGGTGATATGTTTACTGGGGTATTCTAAGAAGCAGATGATTTTGTTGAATGAGACATTTATATAGGCCGATTACATTATGCAATATATATTTGGTAAATATGTGATCACATAACGTGTATATACATTAAGCAGTGCCCTGATACACGAGGATAGGTGAATTTGTTGTGTGTCATTATCATTTCAAAAGGTTGTAGGGGGAGTAATTGCAAAGCCTGGTGTATGTATTGAGAATGGCGAATTGTGATATAGTAATGATGGGTTAATGCGCTAATAACTGTGAGAAATGTAAAATGTAGTGAGATGTGCATGAAGATGAAAGAGTACATAGAGATTTAGAGAAAAAAATAAAGTGGTACAATGTTGCATCCAGAAATAAGATTGTCATAGCCCCTTATTCATTGGGCAGTTTCGACTGTCGTGGTAACCAACTTCTTTGCATGTTCGACATACTCTCTTTTGTTTTTTGGACTGCTCCATGCTTATTTCTACGGCACTTTTGATGCATTTTCCACTACCCTTGTTATGCACCTTCTCGGGAGGTAAAACACGAATATCGGATGGTGCCGGTGTGCCATAGTAAGATTCAAAAATCTTGTTCTTTTCTGGTTCTGAATCTCCGGAATAGGCCGATCTCTCGAGGTTTTGTTTCTGTGTTTTAATAACTTGGGTAAATGCATCTAACAACTCAGAATCATTCTCCGCAAGTGCAACACACGCATGGATGTTAGCCCACAAATGGTTTATCTTCCATCTAGTATTCTCTTGATTTGAATCCCCTTCAATGCCACAAGAGACAGATCCAAGATAACGTTTTGCTATGTCAATCTTACACCATCGCTTTAAAACGTAATTGTTAGGAATAGTGGGACATCCCATTGCTATAAGAACAACAAATATATGCCTACAGAGAAGCCCAACGCGCTGATAATGCTTGCATGAACATGATGCGTATGAATTATCTACGGAGTACATAACTGAGAACGTCATACCTCTATTGTCCTTAATCGTGTAGTGCAGTTTATCATCAATGTTCTCAACATGTGTGCTAAAACACGAGAAACATGCAGCACAAATCTCTTTTTGCACATCATAAAATACTGACAACGTATATATGGCAGCGGCATGCCTCTCAATTGGCAACGAAGTCTTGAATACAGGAATGCAGGATTCAGAATCTGCATTTAACTTAGCATTCCTGTGGCGTTGTGCATCCATGGCACTTTCAAACTGCATCGAGAACTCTACGAGACTGAAATGGGGGTTAGAGAACTCCCCGAAGAAGCTGTTCTCACTTTCAGATCGTGAAGTTGTTCGTAGTAAACCAGCCATGAATTGGTCTCTAAAATATGCTGGGATCCACGTTTGGCGAATGTTAAACAACTTAACAAACCATTTGTGATTCACCAGATTGTAATTATGCATTACCTCATTCCATTTGTGCTCAAAATCACGTGGGTCTAGATAATGGCTCCAGATAACTTCATTCAATTGTGTGAGAAAGACAGAATCCTTGTTTAGCGGTTCCCCCACTTTTTTCCCTACTTTTTTAGTAATATGCCACATGCAATACATGTGTGTTGTCTGTGGGAAAACTTCGCTGATAGCAGTCGTCAATGAGGGATCTTGGTCTGTTATGATGCACTGTGGATCATGGTCCATTGCATCCTGAAATTGGCGAAAGATCCATGTATAGGATTCTATGTCTTCGTTGCAGAGTAAACCAGCTCCAAATGTAACACACTTCTGGTGATTATCCACGCCTGTGAATGGAGTGAACACCATGTTGTACCTATCATTTTAAAGAACAAAGTGTGATTGGATTAAAATGGTATTCAAATTGGCATTGTCATAAAATGATTGGTGTTACAAAAAAGCTATACATGTAAGCACACCTGTTAGTCTCATACGTAGCATCGAAAGAGAGAACGTCCCCAAACAGAGCCCAGTTTTTCCTAGCAACGGGATCGCACCAAAATAGTTGGGTAAGTTGGTCTGTTTCATCAACATCATATGCAAAACGAAATGCAGGACATGTTTCTTGTCTTCGAAACATTTTGTCGATGATCATTTGTGCATCTCCACCCGCAACATATGCCTTAAGGTCTCGTTTGAAGTTCTTGAAATCAATTGCTGTGGCGCCTATGTTATTATAACCGCCAACTGACTCCTTAAACAATCGAAATGATTTCATTGTGCCGATATTTGCTTTGGAATAGTTCAGCATGAATTTTTTGTGTCCAATGTTAACATTCCGATTTATCATCAAAAAGGGTCTCGAGAATGATGAGAGCATCGGGTGATTGTGGCGTTCCTCAAAGGAGGTGATTTTGTATCCAACACTACCACATAATCTGAAAATTACACGTGCTCTACAGCCAGTGCGGTTGGAAACACGACGCCGAATCCTTTTCTTACCATTTGGGGTGCTTGCGGACATACTGGGAGCATTGCTGGAGAGTTGAGCAGCGTGTTTATGACCTTCACGACTGCATAAAATATACTTCCATACATTTACACCGACCGGAGACTTTGTAGACGTACCCAACCGAATGTCAAAACCTGCCAAATGCGCGTAGTTCTTGTAGAACGAAATCCCATCTTCAAGCTTCTCAAAAATCATTCCCACTTTGGGCTTAGAATTTGCTGGGCATTCTGGCATGCATATATTTCGATCAAAAAATGATATTTCTTCGGGAAATACATGCTGGGACAGATTTATCGCATTTTCTTCCACTAATGTATTCGTATATCCCCCTATGCATAAAAATTAAAAATTTCACCAACAAATAAAAATTTCACCAACAAAAGTGAAGAATGCACAAACATTTCATATAGTACAAGTGCAGAACCAGGAAAATATGTTCCAAATAATTATTTTCCTACAAATTTATTTTCCAAAATCTAGAAAATTGAATTGGTCGGGCTGGTACCTGCGTCCATGGCTGAGGGCTCCGTCATTGCAGTGAAGATTCAATGCTGTACTGATCAAGGGATTCTGAAAGCCCTTCCTTCCATAGGATACAATATATGAATTAATATTAATGGAATCCATACCTAAAAGGAAACGAAAATCTAGAAGATGGAATGGAAGGGTAAATTAGGCGAGAAAAAACAGGGGAAGTGGCGAGATGTCCGGGTGTTGAAACGTAGAGGTTGTAGAAGGAAGGAGATCTGGAAATACTTTTATGCCCCTCAGCGGAAGTGGAGATCTTAGATCTGGAGATGAAGATCCGGCGGCCTATATTTATTCCTACTTCTTTCATTAGATTCTATTTTCATTTGAACCAACTTCTATATATATATATATATATGTTCAGGTGAGAATGGAATATAATGAAAGAGGTGAGAATGAATTACATCCGTCCGATCACTGCTAATATTATCACGTGGGAGAGACTTTTTAAAGAATCTTTTAGTAATTTGACGTCTAACCCTATCTCTCACAAGTCATGCCTGATCGTGGATTGCTTCCTGATTTTTAGCCAGGAGATTTGTTTCTCTGATTGTTTGGTCTCTCTCAGATTTCCATATTACTACGTAATTCATTTCCTAGAATCAGCCAATTACACTGTTTGACGTCACGGAAGCTTCATGATGATGGGGCGGCTGGCGACGATCTAGAAACGGATTGGATTCAGCAGCACCCTCTATTGAAATGGAATCGATATGAAGGGAGATTCTTCAGAGTTTGTATCTAATATCACTATCTGTCATTGCTTCATTTTCAATTTCTGGATTTTGACACAATTGGGGCTATTGGACATCAATATTCGAAGCCTGTGGTGAGACGACTTTTTTCTTGAAAAAAATTAATTTAGCTTTTCAATCTATGGTGGTAATCCGTTCGCTTTCCTATTTTATTGCAGGTTTAATTAATATTCTTCTGTTTTCGAATGTGGTCTGCATCTATTTACTAAGGTGGTGCATTTTTCATTGACAATAAAGCATGAGAATGTTTTGAAACAAAGGATTTTTTTACCACAGTGTGCATTCTCCCATCTTTCAAATTATTTTTTAGACTTCGTTAGTTTTTTTCCTAAGGGAAATAGTGTAATGCCAAAACAAAAGAGGAGGATCATGTGATTTTAGTTACATTAGTAATTAGTGCATTTTTGTTTTGATCATGTTGTTTTTAACTCTCTTGAAAAATTTTGAGGAACAGATGTCCTTATGCTTTGTGTTCGTAATCTCAATTCTCAATTTTGCATATATTGATTTTTTTAAGTCTCTAATTGAGATTGGATGGGTATGACTAATAGGATTTCTACTTTTTTTTCTTAGGGTAAGTGTCCATCTTTAAAAGCATTGAAACTTAATTCATTCACGCTTTAAAATGGTTGTGTTTATTTTCAAGCCTGCTGTCTTACCAATTTTTTTGTTGTTGGCATATAAGACACTTCGTTTATCAAACTTGGTACGTTATACTTTTTCTTACTATTTGCCTAAACTGTGCTTTATTTTTCATGCTTGGTGCATTACCGGTTTTAAATCGCTTCCAAAAAAAGTCAGTTTTTCTTGGTCATTTTTTTCTTGCTACTTTTTATTTGAGAGGTTATAATAAGCATAAAAAAAGTTATTATACTATTTGAAATTTTTATACTAAAGATTTTTTTTCTACGACTACAAGTTTGCTTTTGTTTGCTTTGGTTTGTTATAGTGCACTACTAGACTCGAGGTGATGCATTTATATCAAAAGGCAATGCATTCTCTAAATCAAGGTAAAAAGATAATACATTTTGTTACTATGTATTCTCAAAGTCACATTTTATGCATTGATGGTGAAATTCTCCGGACACAAATATAATGCATTTGTATATTCTAGTTAGGGAATTTTGTCCAAAGAATGATGGACTAAAAATATTTTGTGATACATTTGAATATGAGTTAGAAACACGTTGAATGATGCCAAGTTTAATAGATCAAAATGCATATTTAATAAGTTCAAGTGAAAGATCAGAGTCTCTTTCAAAATATAAATCGTTGCCTATTAGTTCAAATGGTAGGGCAGTATTTAATATAGATGTGAGTTCGAATTCCACATAGGCAAATTATTTCTCAAATTTGTGTTACATGTGTTCAGAATACAACACGTTCTCAAACTTTTTTGTCACATACAATGCCACTTAAAGTCATTATTCAATAATGCACATAGAATATAAATTGAATAAAATCTAAAGAACCAATAAATTATCGTGCGTCCTACATTTTTATAGGCTCACAGTGCACAACGAGAAATGCATAAAAAATAGCAAATGATCGAGAAACATAATAATATAATATACCCTAAATGTTTGTTACATTTCAAAAAATGAGGCAAAATATCAAGTTCTTCAATTCATTTTATTTAAATATTGGTGTATAAATAAAAAATAAAATTTTTATATTTTAAAACAACACGAAAAATTCTTCAAAATAAGAAGTATCAAGAATATTTTATTTTATCAAATAATCAATGTAAAGGGAGAAAAACCAAACTAGGACTAAAACATTGAAAATATACCAAAATAGGACTTCCATGTTTTTATTCCCGAAATAGAACTTACATTACCTAACATGATCATATACATTATCAAAAAAGTATAGTAATTTGCACATGTACACTGCCACATTACCACAATGCAAAGTCACATTACCACAATGCAAAGTCCTATTCTGGGAAAAAAACATGAAAGTCCTATTTTGGTACTTTTTTCTATGTTTTAGTCCTATTTAGGATGATTTCTACAATGTAACGTATAATTAAATAAAAGTTTCTGATATGGTTGAAAAAAGAAATGTGACAAACATTTTGAGAAGAAGGGAGTAATACAAAGGTATGGCGGCTAGAAAATTCTCAACTTTAGTTTTAAATAGAAATACATTTGAATATACTGTAGCAACATTGAATTGCGTAATAAGGGGATGCATATCACATCTGCACGATTTCATTTACAATTCGCAATTACATTTATGCCCTTACAATTTTTTAGGGGATTCAGATCCTAATTTGCTGTGACGCAATTAATGCTTTCCTTTTAAAAACAAAAAGAGTATTGTTAAGAGCAATGCTAGGAGTACACCACCCTCTTTTCCACCACACATTTTTATTTGATTTTTATTTACTTATTTTTTTTAAATTTTTTTGCCTTTTTTAGTGGACAAGGAGGGGTGGGGGATATATGGGGTACACTTTTGGTGTACCCCTAGCATTTTTCTATTGTTAAATGACAACCATCAGATGCGTGAAATCTAAAGTGTTAAATATATTCTATATTTAATGTAAATATATTGTTTCCTATTATTGTCTCCTACCTTGTATAGGATTAGGAATATATTGTTTCTTATTATTGACTCCTACCTTGTATAGGATTAGGAACTCTTATGTATATATAGACATGTACTCCCACATATTTGATCAATGAAATTAACCTTTCTACATGGTATCGGAGCCTAAAAATCAAAAACCCTAAACCCCCTCTCTCTCTCTCTCGTTCGGCCTTCTCTCTCTCGCCGTCAGCGCCGACTCCCCACGGCAGCTCTCCTCACCGGCGACACCCTCTCCTCCTCGGCGGTTCTCTTCTTCCCCTCACCATGGCCGAAAACAGCGAGATCACTTCCCAAAATACCTCCTCCAAACCTCCTCACCTTGCTTTCACAACAATCTCAAACGTGAAACTTCACGTCCCCGTTC